GATAGACGATCTGATGCAGGACATCACGGAGCAGCAGGACGTCGCTCGAGAAATCAGCGACGCCATCTCCGGACCTTTTGGAGAGACGTTTGACGAGGTACGGATATTTCACTCTAGCCTACAGAACAGAACAGCTTACACAGAACCAGAGCTGGAAGTAGTGGAGTACAAATACTTTGTTACTGTATTTAAGTACATGTTTCTGGTGTCGGTACTTTACTCCACTACTTATTTTCCTGACCCCTTTTTACTTTGACTTCTTACACTTTGAACACAAATACCTGTACTTTCTACTTCTTACATGTTGAACTCAAATACCTGTACTTTCTACTTCTTACATGTTGAACTCAAATACCTGTACTTTCTACTTCTTACATGTTGAACTCAAATACCTGTACTTTCTACTTCTTACATGTTGAACACAAATACCTGTACTTTCTACTTCTTACATGTTGAACACAAATACCTGTACTTTCTACTTCTTACATGTTGAACTCAAATACCTGTACTTTCTACTTCTTACATGTTGAACTCAAATACCTGTACTTTCTACTTCTTACATGTTGAACTCAAATACCTGTACTTTCTACTTCTTACACATTGAACTCAAATACCTGTACTTTCTACTTCTTACATGTTGAACTCAAATACCTGAACTTTCTACTTCTCTCATTTCCCAAACAGGCTGGTTCCTTTAGTCTGAATGTGTGTTTGGTGGCGTGATCATTATTCTTTAGAGTCATTGCGTGCCCCAATGTTTAGAGACAGTAATCTGATTACTTCTCTGGTTTCAGGACGAGCTGCTGGCTGAGCTGGAGGAGCTGGAGCAGGAGGAGCTGGAGGAGAACATGAAGAGGATGGGAGGATTACCCAGCGTGCCGAGCAGCAAACTGCCCTCAGCGAGACCAAGCAGTCAGCGAGCGAGTAAGAGACTCATATCAGAGGGATTACTACAGTACTTCCTATACTCTAACTTTTCCTCATCGCAATTCTACTCAGAGGTGGGAGAAGAACTCAGATCTTAAGTAGAAGTACTCAGATCTTGTACTTGAGTAATGCAGATGAAGTAATCTATATCCATGTCAGAAATAAATAAATACAATAAGCTAAATGCATGTAAACAGAGTAAAAGTATATCAGAGGAACTTACTGCAGAGGAGAAGAAAGACAATATGCAATAATAATCACTTTATGTGCAAAACATACATTCTTTATAAAACCTCTCAACACCGTAATATTTTACTTTCGTCACTTAGTTTTCCTAAATTGCTGCCACTAAGTACTTAGAGTACATATTTGTCTTTTTGTTTGTATATGTTTACTAATGCGTGAGGTGAACTGGGCCCTCTCCAAGTAGCAGTCCACTCTCCATATTGAGGTCTGGTCGGGGACTTGAACCGGCGACCCTGCGGCTCACAGTCCGAGCCCCTCCTGACTGAGCCACTGCCGGACATTGTGTGTTCTGTGTCTTCTCTACTCTAGATATTTATATCTTTGCCGTTTGTTTATTTTAATTTTATTATGATCAAAATGTCCAGACATAACTTTCGGGCTTTTATATCTTTTTTCTTAATGAGTTTTGAATACCTATATTAAACGGCTTTATCGTCCTATGCACAGCTACAGTGTAGATATGAGATGAAAACCTGAAGCCTCCTGCAACATGAATATATATATAACACTTGAAACAATAAAATAATGCAGATTAAGCAGCAAGTAGTGCAGGAGAAGCAAACTATTTCCACGCCAGAGATGAATACATGCAGTCGGCTAAATGTTGTGACGGAGTTGATAAACAGGAACAGCTGATTAACCCGATAACTATCCCATAATAACCTGATTACCTTTCCTTCTCTTTGCAGCCACTAAGAAGAGAGTTGAGGACGAGGACGACATGCGGACGCTGGCATCGTGGGCGGTTTAATCACGTTACCTCTCTCTCTCTTAGCTTTTAATTATTAAGGGGAAATGAAGAGCGTTATATTGAAGCCACTTTACAGCTGATATTTATGGAGGATTAGTGAAGGATTAACAGAGGGTACTTTAGATGTGTTTATCCTCCTAGCTGTTGTTGTTGTTGTTGTTGTTTTACAGCGTGTACAAGAAGTACTTAATTAAAATGAAGGTATGAGGAAACCACTGTTGTTTCTAACTGTAAATAAAGTCTGATTTTTGCATTAATGTTGTAAATAAACTGCTTTGATCAATAAACTAATCTCCTACAGTTGGTCTTAAAGTCTTCTCTTATTTACAGGGTCTTGGAAATAGTTTAAATCACAAATGGAAAGTAGATTTTTCACGGTGACATATTCTCAGAAGTACAATGTGTACTTAAGTAAACAAGTATTAGCATCAACATATACTTTAAAGTACCCAACGTTAGAGCTGGTTTCTGATTATTCCCCATGCTCCTCCTCCTACATGCTATGGTAGTTTATTTTATGTTGTATT